AATTTCCCCAGATCCAACGGGTCTCGTGATCTTTTTTCACTGCCCGGTTCTCCCTCGGAGGAAAATGCCGCCCTCAGCAGAATCTGATCTCCTGGCTCCTGTGCCTGTTTGGGAAGTGAGACTCGGTTCCTTCCTGCCACAGAAGAGGAAGGGAAACGCCTCGGCCTGCCGGACTAGGCCCCCTCCCCGGCCCCCTCCCCTCTGATATCTCCACTCCCACCCTCCCTGCATCTGTCACCCCACAAAAGTTCCCAGGAAGGAAGGCCTTTCCGGGGAGGGGGCGAAGGGGGCTTGGGGAGATGCTGCACTGGAGGAGACAGAGAAGGACACTTGGGGGGGAGGGAGCAGCGTTTCTGCCCAACTTGCCCTGATGCTCCCTGGAGCAGCTGCTGAGTCAGAGCCTCCGGAGGGGACACCCCCACAACCGCAAGGGGTTCCCCTTTTGGCCCAGCCTGGCGCCACTTTGCTTCCTTCCTCCCCCCCACCAGGCGCCAGCAGCCTTCCTCTCCCACTCGTGCCACGTGCCCAGGGCGAGGACCCAGTGGGGGCCCCTAGCAGCCATCCATCCCACCAGCATGGCCCATGGCAAGGAACCAGGGCCCGGTGGCCCTCCAGTCCCCTGCTGCCCATCACACAGCTCCAAACAGCCAGAAGTTGGGCGTCCAACTCGATTTGAGTGCACACCCAGGGACACCCAGAGGCCCAGAGACCCAAGCCAGGCTCTGGGTGAGCCTCCACTGCCAGCTGCTCTTCGCCCCTGGTGAGGAAGGGGTAAAACCACCCCCCACCCCCCGGTAACCCTCTGCTCTTCCAGAAGGGGACCCAAGCAACAATGGGGAGACCCTTCCTGGGCTGTGGGGATCTTCCACTTGGGAGCCCTGGCTCACTCCAAGCCAACCGAAGGGCCTCCGGAGCAGCCAGGGAAAGTCCTAGGACAGTGTTGGTGAAACCTTTCTGTACAAGTGCCGAAACGGGAGAGCACATGTGTGCACGCACATGCACATCAGCGTCCAGTTTCTAGCAAGCATGCACACGCGAAGACCAGCTGCGCCAGAAACTGGAAGACCAGGTGGCCAGTGCGCATGCAGGAAACCGGAAGATCACCTTCCTGGCACATGCATGCGCACCAGGTGGCTGCTCTTCCGGCGCTTCCACACATGTTAAGACCAGATGGCCGGTTCGCCAGAACCGGAAGAGCAACGGGAGACGGCTGGCATGTCCAGAGAGATGGCTCTGCGTGCCACTTCTGGCACGTGTGGCATAGATTCGCCATCCCAGCTAGGAGGCTGCACTGCAATAGACCTTGCACAGAGACCCCCCACCCGCCTCTCCAGCAGGCCTTTCCCTCTCAGGGTGAGCCGGATGCGAGGTGCTCACACGTGGGGTGTGGGGGGCAGGCAGCCCACCCTCTAGGGAAGTTGGGGAGGGGACTGGAAGCCAGAAGGCCCAGAGTTACGGCTGGCTGAGACGATCTCCCTAGAATAGACGTATTTGGGGTCTCTGGTTTGGTCTCTTCAGGTGCCAGCAGCTCCTGAAGGTTCCCCTCCGATGGGCCCTTTCTGACTTGGCCTCCAGCTGACCCTCCTGAGGAAAAAAGCCCCCTCCAGAAAGAAGCCCCTCGTCCCAGCAGGGCACCGAGGAGAGGCCGTTGCCCACACAGGACGGGTCTCCAGCCAGAAGGGAGGAAGCAAAGAAGGCCCACAGGGAAAGGTGCCCCCCACCCCCCACCCCCAGGCTCAAGGGGAACCAACGCTGGAAGGAGCCACAGCACGCGGAGGCCCAATATCTAGATGCAGCCCTAACATGCAGGACGACTGTGGGTTGGTTTGGGCACTAAAAGCCACGGACGGGACCCTGAGCCCCACAGGCTGGCATCTCCAAGGCCGGTGCCAGTCAGTCTGGCTGTGCATGACTGGTATCTGAACCCTCTGGGCACCATCCGGTGTCCCTGAGCCTTCTCAGCGGGAATTATCTGGAACCTGCTTCTGGTTTACGTGTTTGTTTGTTTAAGCGTATAGGCTGCCCGACTCCAGGAGACAATTGGCAGAACATGTGCAGTTGCATGTGGCACCATTTCCTTTACTCGCTGCAAAGTTCTTTAGAAAGGAGAGGAAGCCTCTTTCTGGCCAGTAATTGGGGGGGGGGGGGGGGGAGGAATGGCAGCAAGAGGGCAGGGAGGGAGCAGTGAAGGAGCCAATGAAGGGAGCCCCCCAGGGCTGGTCCAACCCACCTGCTCCAAGCTTGAGCTTCCAACCCAAACAGGGCAAGAGGCGGAGCAGTGGTGCCCTGGGAGTGAGTGGGCAAAGGAAGGGGCCGGGGGGGGGGTTTGCTGGCTTGTCAATCAGCACAAATTCCCCAGTTTTGCAAGCCGGAGATTGAAGGAGCTTTATGTTGCTGTTGTTGTTAGATAAATAAGCACTGCCGTCCTCCGACCTCCCACCTAAGCTGTGAGAGAGACGGCCCTGGCCGCCACATCCAGGGGGCTGTTTCTAAGAACAATGCACCGTGTATTGAAAGCTGATTTTGGGCAGGTCTGAGCAGTGGCGCTGCTTAGATAGGCTGGGAACGGAGCCAGCAGCCTCCGAGGAAAGCAGTCCAGGAGAGAAGAGAATCCGCTCGCTTAGCAGAACTGGGACCTTATTCTGCAGGATGATACCCGTTGCAAAGGGACAAGATAACGGACAGAGATGTGCACTTGACAGGGGTCTCCAACCTTGGTCACTTTAATCCTGGCGGACTTCAACTCCCAGAATTCCCCATTTTGAGTAGTTTGGAGAACCGGCCAATCCCACCTCTGACTGGAGATTTCGCAGCCTCCTTCCCCTGCCACGCCCACCAAGCCACGCCCACAGAACCGGCAGTAAAACCATTGGCATCCCACCCCTGGGGGACACCCCTGATGGGCAACGCTCCCCCTTCTGACCTCACAGAGTCAAGCTGAACTGGAGCCCCTGGGGAGGGGTGACTTTCTGCCCTCCCCCCCAAATCTGACCCCGGGGAGCAGCTCCTGCCTCCCGTTCAGTTTCTCCTCTGGGAAAGGGAAGGAAAAGTCCATGACAAACCAAGAGCCAATCGCTGGGCTTCTCTGGCCCCCAGCCATTGGCTGAACTCCTGTGATGTCACAGCAGGCTCAGAAGCCCCCCCCCCCC